ATAAATCAACTACGTAACCATCTTATTAAATATTTCACTTTGATTTGCATTAAATGAAAATAAATGACTGAAAATATAGTTGCATGCAATACAAACATGTATTTATAAATATTCTCGCTTTCCCTCTCTCTCTCTCTCTCTCAGAAAATTAATTCCACTCAATAATTTGAAAAGAGAATTTGATCGAAGTATCTATTTGTCATCATCAACATTATCCATGTGATTTGGTTAGTACTTATTTTGGAAACAATCAAATTAACAGTCAATTAAATCAAATCAATTGAGCATTTTCATATTACAATAATATGGAGTCACTAAATTTTAACCATTAGATTCATAATATTAATGTCATATTTATTAAGGATTTTTATTAATCAATTAGCTAACAGTAATCGATAATTAATTGTAGTTTTGAACGAATTATGTATTTTTATGATGAATATGATTAGAATTAAAAATGGAAAAAAATGTTATACAAATAGATTTAATAACGTTGATAAAGTAAACTTACATTGTCTATAATCTCATGAGTGTATTTAAAGACTGAACAACGAATCATTTAGTTGTATATTATCAATGTGTTTATTAAGCAGTGACCGATATTTTCTTAGAGTACAGTCAGACACAAGATCAGGTTCTAGTTTACAATAATAATCAGATTTTAACAGGATATAACAAGTAAAACACTATTGAACTTACTTTCATGAAGAACTGATTACAAACTATAAAAAGGTTAAACTTAATTTATTAATGTAAATACATTTTTACGAGACTGAAGACTAATTATTTAACCCTGGTTAAACTTGATCAACTATATCTGTAACTTTTCTGGGGTTACAGCCGGTTCAAAGACCGGATAAAGGAGGAGGGTCGGGCATGAAATTACTTTCCCCATCCCGTAGAAAAAAACCTTGCTAAAAAACGCTAACCACAATAAACAAATTAAACTATTTGAAATCTGCCCTAGGAGTTCAAGAATCAACTTTCAGAAGAATTATGGCGCCTCATGGTGAAAGCCGAGATTATTCGGAAGTTACGAAGCCGATATCCCTTCTAACAACCACAGTAACTAATAATTTACGTACATTAAGTGTTCAGAAAATATGGGAGACCGAGAGGACCGAACAAATTACCGCGTAAATAAGGAGATACAAGTTGATGGTGCTTAGAATAAGTGGAATTCATGCTAGACAGAACAAGTTAGATTCTGCAGAGACGTCGCCGTACTCTGGTTAGAATGAGGAAATCACCCCTCACACTTAGGGAGTTGCTCCGATGCTGTCCAAAGAAGCATGAAAGGCACTTATAGGATAGGAATCTCATGGATCCAGAATCATCAAAGTATTGTTCAAAGCAAAGATGCACAGGATCACAGTGAATGTTATCCAGTGTTGTGCACCCATCAATGATTGCAACGAAGACGATAAATATCAGTTTTATGAGGCTGTAATCGATCATAGCGAAGTGTTCAGGAAAGATCCTGACAGTCTTGAAGAGACACCTAAACACCAAAGTCAGAATGGACAACATTGGCTATGAAGATATCATGGGACGACGTGGTTTACAAGAAAAAAACGAGAAAGGTGAGAGATTTGCGAATTTATGTGCATTCAACGAAATGGTTATAGGTGGCATTATATTCCCACACAAACGCATACACAAACCTAAATAGGTTTCACTGGATCACATCACGGAGAACCAGATAGATCATAATTGTATCACTAAGAATTGCAGAAGGACAATGGAAGATGTGAGAACCAGGAGAGGAGCTGATATGGCTTCAGACCACCACCTGGTTGTGGCCAAGATCAAACTAAAACTAAAAAACACTGGAAAACTGGGGAAACAGCTATACAGAGGTTAAATACTGCCTTCCTTCGACATACTGACAAAGTCGACGAATTCAAGACAGTTCTCAACAATCGGTTCCAATCATTACGAGGTCTACTTAAAGAAGAAGAAACTACGATGGAGGAAAATCGGGAACGGATCAAAGAAGCACTAACTTCAACGTGTCACAAGCATCATCATAAGGAATGTATCTCTATCGAAATCCAGGACAATATTAAAGAAAGGAAGAACAAGAAGACAGTAATTAACAACAGCCGAACAAGAACAGAGAAAGTCAAGGCACAAGCTGAATACACAGAAATAAACAAGCAAATGAAGCATTTGCGTCGACAAGAAAATATACGTGGATGACCTGACAGCAGAAAATGTGCAAGTGAAGGAAATATGAAACAACTATATGACGCGACGAAGAAACTGGCAGAGAAATATAGTAAAACTAGAGAGACTAGCCGATGACAAAAAAGGCAAGATAGTCACCAAGGTTCAAGAACAGATGGGTAGAACCCTTTGAGGAACTGTTAGATAGGTCAACTCCACTGAATACTGAAGCAGCACCTACAGATCTTTCTATAGATGTCACTCCACCAACGATCGAAGAAATCAGGATGGTTGTCAGACAAATCAAGAGCGGGAAAGCAGTAGGACCTGACAGTACACCAGTCGAAGCACTTAAGTCAATCACAGTAGTAACTGCAAAGATGCTCCAAGCTCTATTCAGGAAGATTTGGGGGGAGGAACGAGTGCCACTGACAAATTGGAAAGAAGGATACATCATCAAGATATCAAAGAAATCAGATCTCAGTGAGTGTGAGAACTAATTAAAAAAATTCTGTTTAGGGGTTGTGGAGATTGTCAAGTTTTTGATCGAGATCATCATTATTTTGGCTATAAAAATCAAATTAGAATTGACGTCTTCAATCTAATTACGAAAGTAAAATCCACCAGCACATTGACTTAATAAACTTCGTCCAATATGTATAACAGACAGTTCTGTTCGTCACATATATATTCCGGGTCGGGAGGATCAGGAGAAAAATAAGAACGAGAATTACAGGATAGATTTAATAATTATAGATGCGGATGAGCAAATCTAAACTTCTGCAATTAATCTCTGGCCAAATCACCTAGTTTCTTATGATAAAAGTATGATTATCTGACGGATCCCAACCACCTAATTTGCGCCTTTTCAAATGACTTAAGTAAATGGTCAGTGGCTTTTCAGACTGTCACATTCTAGTATTCTTCCCAATTCGCTTCTATCCTAGTCAACATATCGTCTGGTCCCGATTGGACATGAGTAACGTGGTCTACAGACACCTCAGTAAGCGAAGGTTCCTAATCTCAATCAATACGTCATTGAAATGGTTTAAAAAAGTGATAATTGATGTGCTCCAGCTGGAGCCACTAGTTTAAATAATAAATGGTTGGGAACACGGATAGGGGAAATCCTAAGAGAATTAGGTTGATGGTGTACTTGGTGAGCTCGAGTGTTACTGGAACTGTGTGGGAGACTAACACTTCTCAGCTGCAAACGTGAAGGTTTACATAGATTATTTTTGAGTTTTATTAATATGGGTCACCTGAAAATCTAAGCAAACTTAAACAGGGATTATGACAGTGCATATCCCTGGATGGAAATAAATTCAGTAACGTTTTATGACAACTCTACATACATAAATGAACAAAGGTATGTTCTCTGGTCGACAGAATCTAATTACTTACAGTTTAGATAAGGACATAGTTGGTTCTAGGACCGAGCTGGGAACTTATGAAAATATTCCTGAAGCACTATTCTCAAGCCAGTTAAATGCTGAGTGATATAAGATTTAAGGGATTGCATTGCTAAAACTTTGTAATCTGTGATCAGATTTGTGCTCTACTTTATAGACCGAAACAAACACTATTTAAGCCTAGTTAGTCCAAATAGTCCTTTTTGATTACTGAGGTTGTTGACTTTTGAAAGCGAATAGTCAGTACCTATTTATTCATCATTTATCAAGTGCTCGTAATATTCATAACTATGACAAGGGGTGCTGTGTTGATATCAGACTTACACTGTGACTGGTTCAGTTAACATATTCATCAGTTTACTTATTAATGTTCGAAATGTTTCTATAGTCTATCGTTTATGTAGGCAATCAAAATTCATTTGATAGACTGATTACTTTTATCAAATGAAAACTAACCAGTGGTCTTTCGTTCTATCATTTAGAAAAATATTTATAAGCAGCCGATCATCTTGCATCCGTCTAAACCCATAAACATTTCCAACACCTCAATGTCTATTTCAACAAAATTACAATTTCAATAAAGTAGTAAATACGACACAAACTAGTATAATGGTGGAATACAAACTGGATGCGAAACCACAGCAACCATATAAACGTGATTGCACGTAGATTACGTTAGAGACATCTAGATTATTCATAATACAATCACTAATGCTTGTATCCACTAATATTAATTACAGGCAACAAAGCAATCATAACATGTATTTATTTTTTTATTATCAAATGAAAATTATAAGACTAAATGAAAAATATACTCAACATTACATATCAAGAGGTCCGTATAAACGGAGCAAAAGATGAAACAAATCTCCAAGGCAAGTTGGTCACTTGAACACAAATTTTACAACTATCCAATCAAACACTTTTATATGATACATGGAAACTGCGCTTGAAATATTTTAATCGTCTCATATTTTTCCGAAAAAAAAAATAAGTGCAGCATACAGAAACGTGTATAGTATGCACAAACACGCACATACACAACAATATTATTTGTATGTATAAACAAGTTCGTTATTCGACAGATTAGAATGTAGCACATATAGGCAGTCAGCTTTTGATGTTCAGTTCACATGGTTGTAAATTACTTCTTTCATCATTCAACGAATACTTTTATTCAAAATGGAGATTGTAATTCATCGCAGTTAAGTTATAATGAAACACAGGACGACATATTATTTAGAAGGTTAGAAGTGGCAAATAGCTATTTTATATGTATATCCACAACTATATATAACACTGAAGATGGGTGTAGAGAGAAAATAAATAACAATACGATTTCAAAGTATAGACATAGAGGGGAAATAATAAGTCATTATCGGAGACAAAAATATATATATATATATATATATATATATATATATATATATATATATATATATTTAACTTTTGAAAGAAAGAGACAAATCAAAAAGTGTGATTTTAAAAATTTATTTAAACAAAGTTGAATAATGGAACATTTTTCTGGAGAAAAAAATTCAAGATCCTTCTTGTCCAAATTCATCTGTAAATTTACGGTGTTTTGCTAAATCTTCAGCATTTACAGTTGGCTTATTTCGTTCTAATGAACTCAACATATCATGCTGTAAAGCAAAAGGAAATAGAGAATTAAGAACTTTTTTGGATCAAGACTGTACCAGTATCGATATAAGTGATGATTAACTTACTAGTGTAATAAGTGTATCACAAATAAATAAACATTTTATTAATAAAATATGCAATAAGTTTTGGTGATCCTATATCTGACTCCAGATCGGAAGGCTGCGTATTCGGATCACGTTAGCCTTACCACTTTAGTGGCCCTGTAATATCTGACTCCATTTTGATCGTGTGATTATCGTTGTCGGCTTATACATATCTTCAATCCTCGTATATAATTATTAACTTAAATCGCGTCAGTGAATAACGGAATCAAATAAGTTAAATATAAGAATGCAGTTTTGAATCTGTATATTTTTTACAATAGTTGATCAGAACAGACAATCAGAGAGACGGAGTGAAGAGAGCGATGCGAAATGGATTGCAGAAGGCATGTGAGCCAACTACGTTTCCCTTCGCTCCGTCTCTCTGATTGTCTGTTCTGATCAACCATTGTACAAAATATACAGATCCAAAACTTCATTCTTATAGTTAACTTATTTAATTCTGTTATTCACTAATGCGATTTAAGTTAATAATTATGTACCAGGATTGACGATATGTGTAAGTCGACAATGATAATCACACTATCAAAATGGAGTCAGATATTAGAGAGCCACTAAAAAGTGATAATTATTTAGTCTGAAATCATAAATAAACTTAACAATCTTAGAAATTCCTGACAATTCTACATGTTTTAGATATGAGAACAATTTTTTTTTGAAAATTAACGACTTACTTATGACCATTAGCTTGATCTTAAGCTTAAATTTTTCAACAGATTCTTTAGGTTTGATCCAGTTAACAATATTTCTAGTACTTCTAGAAAGTTAGTTACTGAAATCCAGTTACACACTTCAGTAAATGCAAATGTGAAAATTTACCGGTGTTCGATATTTATGCATTTGAAAAAAGGGTTGTCTCTACGATGACTGTCAACTTAGTTTTGTGTATTCGGTTTAACACTGTTATGCATAATTCATATAATAGTTTAATTACGTGTATAGTACTTTTGTAAAAGTTCATATGGTATAAGCATCAATTATTGCTCTAAAACAACATTAATGGAACAAGTTACTTAAAATAGAATAACATGACTTTTCTACTGTATAAAATAACGAAATACAAATTTGATGATAGTGACTTTTATTTCCACAAAATTAGATAAAATCTGTATCCAGTTTTAATGATAGAAAGAAAGCTCTACACACCCCACAGACATATTAACACAACTCATACGGGTTAATGTGAGTATATTATTTCACATTATTGTTATATTAACAACACTTTTATTTCTATCAGACAACCCTAATTGATATTCACTAATTTCTACGCTAAATAGTGAATTGTCATAAAATTCTACATATACGGATAAACAGATACAAAAATATAGAATTATACTACTGAAAAAAATCCATAATCAAATTAGGAATGAGAAAAATAAATAACAAACAAACCATAGCAACTGGGGGCTCCTTAAGTTTATCACTTGGAACTTTTTTCCAATCCATTTCTATTGCACCATGATCTCCCGGGGAGCACGGCATTAAAAGATCATTGACGATCTTTGATGGATCAGTAGGAGAAGGACCAGTAACCTACCAAAACAAAACAATTTAAACGATCAGAAATACAAAAATGAATTGTAAATCAATGAAAGGACTGCAGATAAATATCGGGTAATTTAGCTGATTTAAGATAACTTAGCAGACAGGTTCATGTATGTTTATTCTAACGCGAGTCATACTTTGGTGTGACCAATAATGATGTTACCTGATTACCAAAACCAAAATAGACTAAATAGGATCAACTGTGAAACTTAACGATTGGAAGCCAACTGACCTAACCACTGATTCGTAGCTCTATTGATACCGCATAATCCTCAAATACAAATAAATTAAAATAAACCTTCACATATGCCATTTTATAGTTTGTCTAAACCCAATACATATTAAAGCCAATATCTCAATGTTACTGCACATTAAAAAGGTGATAGGAAAAGATATCTCTTTAAGGTTCAAGAGGCTTCGGTTAGTCAACCAGTCCTTCTTAACGTAGAATTTAGTATTAGTTTATGCGACGGTTGCTACACCTGACACTAAGATGAGAAGCATTCGATAAGAAATGATATTGAAAGTAATGAAAATTTAAATATTAACAAATGAGATCAAAGTATGGAAAGTTATGGATGACATTTAACTCAAGATTTAGAGTAAGACAGAACTGGATAACTGAAACCTATTTTATACTATGCTATTAATCATCTTAGATCGTTGATTACGAGTATCAGTTTTAGAGTCCTGGTATCAAACTATTCGGATCAATTCAAACTGTTTCATCTGTACAGAAATATTATTAGCTAATCTTTCGTTTTGAAACTGATATCAAGACAACAAGTAAATGTTTCAACTAAATTTAATTTAATAAAAGGAAGTAAGATCATTTTGGTGAAATGAAAAAATGACAGTGTAAAACAACTGAAAAGTGCACAAATTTTCCTAATAATCTTTTCTTTAGAAAAGAGTAGTTGTCAATGTTCTACAGTGTGACTATTTCATCCACTTAAACCTTTTTAATATATTAACAATATCCGTTTCGGTCAAATCAGTGAAATGTAGAAAGTATGCCTTTATCCCTCTAATCATTTGAAGCAAGCTTCAATGTGTTTACGCGTAATCATTATATTTATAACAAAGGCTTAACACAGCTCACAGCATTAAAAAAGACGAAACTACAGGTATAAGACTTCGAATTAATATCATGTCGGGGAGAGGGTCCAGAAGTACAATTCACTGACATATGTCCCTGAGAGTGTTACTGATCTTTTGAAAACTGTGTACAAAAACACATCTCGAAGAACGAAGGTATAATACTAACCCTACTGTTGTACTCCAAAAGCGGGATTAGATAGGTTTGCCAAACTGACTATTTCCTTTCCAGTTTTCCAACTGATGAAACTCTGGAAACAGTTGTGAAGAAAATATCCGATAGCGATGTAAATCTGTTCCCAAGACAGGCTTTAGACCTGGAGTACGCGGATGATAGTCTAACAAGCTATCCAAACCGTACTTAATAAGTTGTTAATTAGTATTATTTAGTAGTGCATGTACCTTGTGCCTTAGAAGTTCAAAGAGCCCCTGTAGAACTCATAGGATTGTGTTCAGGCATACACTCTTTGTGGTGAACCGGTGGATGTAGTTTAAAACCTCGTGCACCATTTTTTCAGTAATTGATGACATATAGGAGCTTAGATGAGTATTAATATAATAAAGATTAATACAATTAAAAAGACTTACATATTTAAAGTGTGTTGACGTTTGAACCTTCCGAACGGGCATCATTAAAGCTTCCCTAACAACAACTGATATGTCCGCACCTGAATAACCTGTGCTCCTTGCCCCAAGTTCAATAAAGTCTTTCTCTACCAGACTATGAAATATGTTCCCCAGATTCGTTTTGAACATACTAACACGTTCACCTGTTTCAGGAAGGGGAATATATATACGCTTTTCAAAACGACGACGTATAGCGGAATCTAAAGTCCAAGGAGTATTTGTAGCTGCCAACACTAGGACGTTTTGATTATTCGAACAGACACCCTGAAACGATGGTAAGAATAATGCATGTCAAAAACACATCAACTTCTTCATCAGAGATATCGAAAATATCTAAAGAGTAGATACAATTTTCCAAGTTAGTGTACATAGCTCCTTACCGAAAATATCACCCTTAGATCATTTTTGATAGAGAAACCTAAAGCATTATTGGTTTACATTAACAGCAATCCCATACAGATACTCTAAGCTTAGCTGATCTTCTGAAACCTAGTTACTGAGATATTTCAAACCATACTATAAATGGTACAAACTAAAAGCACAACAATCGTAAGCCAAATAGTTGATGTTATTTTCGTTGGTAAGATGAATATGTGGGTGCTTGCATGATACAAATGAAGTGAAAATCACCTCTACTGCTTCATACAGCCGCTCGTTTGAAAATATTATTACACTATCTCTCAAGAAACATTTCGCGTATTTATTTTTGGCTTAAAAGTTCATCTCAAACAAGCGAAGATGGAGTCATTGAAGGGAGTTCCGAAAGATTTATATACAGACAAAAATTCGGAACTATTCAGTGTATTTTAATCAGTCAGCTACAACGTAGGACCAGGCACATATGTGCATCGGTTCAAGTTGCCATACCTCATTAACACAGCAAGATGAACACCGGATTCATAAAAGTACTTAATTCAGAGGTGGTAATATATAAAAGAAAGTTTGCATATAAGTATATAGTACAGGAAGAAAGAATTAGTTCGCAGAAAGAAACATATGAAGCGATTTTAATCTCTTAGTTTAAGGGAAGACAGAGAGTGTATACACCTACGCCATTGTGATGGATTCTGAGCCATGTCACCAACAGTCCCCAACCATTGGTTACGACAGTCACGCGGACCCCAACCAAGTAGTCTGCATCTACCAACATGTCCTCCCCTAACTTTATTCTTCAGTGTATTTTAATAAAGATTATTGCGAATTACTTATAGACAAAACAAACCACTATAATCCAACTATTTTTAAAATCTTTCTTACAACAACAACAACAGCCTAAATGTTCGAAAATTTACCAACTAGCTTTAATTTAAAGGCAATTTCTCTAGACTTCTATTGCATTACTATTGGTAAAATAAAATGTGAAACTCATAAGTCTAGAATACGTACTTGCATTTGAACAAGAAATTCAGTTTTTATCCGTCTTGTAGACTCGGACTCGTTATCATTACGTGATCCGCATAATGAATCGACTTCATCGATGAAGATTATACTTGGTTTTTGTTCTCTAGCCATTGCAAATAGTGATCTCACCAATTTCTCAGATTCACCAAGCCACTTACTAACCAAATCCGAGCTTGAAACAGATAAAAACGTTGAATTGTTTGCTTCGGTTGCAACAGCTTTGGCCAAATATGATTTACCAGTTCCAGGTGGCTAAATTTCCAAATGAGAAACTTCGTTACTTAGAGACCATGAAGTTGCGACTCAAACAAACTAATTACAGTATGTTGGACAAATATTATAAAACAACAAAGCATTAACACCAAAAGGCTCCTGAACCATGAAGAAAAACGAATTCACGAACCATTCATTTAATTAAAATAACAAGCACGAGAATGCTATAAACTAGCTTTTCATAAACTCCATGATTCAATCTTTAATTTCCCTTAGATTCTTAGTTTCAAAGTGCTTCTTTAGATATTTTATTCAAAGGATTTTTCGTCTTCAATCGTATTCTCTACTTATATTCTTTATTAATACGCTGATACTACTACTAGTGCTACTACTTTGACTTTAAATTTGATAATTTCATCTCTCTGTCCTGATATGATGAGGTAATTTAAACTATGTGGATATGTGTTCGGCTCTACGTTGCCTATAACTAAACAAAAGGATGAAAATTAAAAAAACTTAGAAGAAAATTTGTGCATTTAAAAGCAGTGATGGGGAGAGCCAATCAGTAGTAGTAGCCTAGTCGGAAAGTCGATCGATGGCAATCAGAGATGGCCTAAAGATCAAGTGCATTTCAATGATTAAGCAATGGATCAATTTTCTGAGGATTGGAGTGGTATATATATGAATGAATATTCGTGAATTTTATTCAGCAGCCCAAATGCCCTGGTACAGCCGATGGTGGGGAAAGTCAGCTCTCGCACTCGAAATGCTCTCACATGGCTACACGTATACAGTCACTGCTAGGGAAGCCCTACTCACTGCCCCCTCGCACCGCGGACGATGTTTACGAAGTTGAGAGGACGATAAGCGAATGTTCGGCGCTTTAACCGGGTTGGTGGACACGGAGGGTCCACCTAGAACAGTTGGAATACCCTGATTCCAAACCAATGGTGCACATGGGCTCAAGGATCCTGAGAGGACAAAATATGAATGAACCTATTGTCAGTCACCGGCTACCATGGGACTGCATCTCCTGACGTTGCTCCACTGCCTTGTAGATCAGACCTTTAGGTCCAAGGCTCCGGGTGTGGCTCCCTAAGAAAACCAGCTGCTTCGGTCTGGGCACCCGGGCAGTATTACAGTCCACACATAAATCAAGTGACTTGTGTGGCGCATATGTATTCAGTGTCCCTTCGTATCAATATTTGTGTTCAAACAAAGAAATACATTCTCGCCCAGTAGTCAGTTGGTAAGGTAACACGAAGCACACCTTATATCAATATCAGATTTCGGATACCGCACGTCACAACAAGTTAAGATAAGGGTGGAAAGACTGAAATCGAATATTTTTGATCACATGAAAATAACCCAATATACGAAAACCAGTTGAATTCCTTAAAGCCTAATCAAAGTAACCTTTTTACATTGTGTATGTGTATGCAATAATATTGTATGTGTAACTGCAGTGTTACTGGTTGTGCATTACAACAAAAAAGGATAGTTACTTTAATCTTTCCATTCAAAAGTTTAGTAGCAAAAATAATAAAAATAAAACAGTTGCTCCTTCCCAATAATTGGATACTAATATTTGTTTACCTCAGTTTATAATTGTTAGCGGGATATAGATTGGATTAAAGCATGTTCTGAATAGGATTGTGTTAGGGCACGCTGATTGGTTGTTTCTTACCTGATCAGCGCTGGGGAAGACTCTAGAATCTCCTTATGTAAAAATTATAGATATACTAACGATTTTCTTATTGAGATTCCTACTTCCACCCACCATTGTTATTTGAAATACAATTACATTACTGTTCAACCGCGTTCTGATTTGGGGACTTGTCAAGTGAAGCAGTTTCCAAGAAATACTAAGCAATAATAGTAGCAGGGTCGTAATAAGAGAAATCATTATAGTGGCGACGGGGAAAAAGGAAAAAAAATTCAAGATGCCCATATCAAATGACCAGCTCAACCGAATACTACAACAACAGCAAGCACAACTTTATACACAATTGCGATTGTTGGAAACTCTGACGCAACAGCTTAACATCGACTACTCGAGCTCATAGGCTAGTCTAAGTACTTCTTTTAATGAAGTTTCTAGCAGAATCTCAGAACTCAACTATGACCCTGAAAATGGAAATACCTTTCCCCACAAGATTCAAGCGTTGGCAAAACATATTTAGGGGAGAATTCTGCAAACAAAATTACTCGTGGAAGACTAGTTTGTTGATGCGTAAGTTGGGAAGCAATGAACATGCACGTTATGCTGACCATATATTGTCAAAGTTACCTCGAGAGCTGTTTCGAGACGGTAACTCAATCGTCAGAGATATTCGGTGAATCATCCTCATTGTCTAGTATTCAATATCAGTGTTTAAATTTGGTGAAACGCAAAGCCGATGAATATGATGCTCTACAGATGTCGTCAACCGAGTGTGAGAGGTTCAATTTACGCTCATTGACAGAAGACCAATTTAAATGCCTAATATTCATCAAAGCTCTTCAGTCACCACAAGGTGCTGAGATTAGGACCATACTTTTAGCTTGACTGGATCAAGATCCAAGCGTCACATTTAGGACACCAACAGATGAGTGTAAACGACTACAATATATCAGACACGACAATGAGTTAATTGAACAAGTCAATCCGAACATGACCACTTGGTTATGTGGTGATTGGCATTATGTACGATTCTGCCTATTTAAGAAGCATAAATGTCAGGTGTGTAACAGACACAGACATGAAGGTCCATCAAATCGTACGTTCCAACCCTAGAAGAAACAAAAACGTCCTCGAAAAGTGGTAAAATCAGACAAATCTAAATCACTTTCTCCAGCAGCAGCTTTCCAAACCGACTATGACATTTAGAGGAAGTATGTTAATATCTTAATTAACGGCACCTCAATACGTCTTCACGTTGATATGATATCCGATATCACCCTAGTTTCTAGAGAAACGTATAATCTGCTTGGGAAACCGCCAATGACTATCAACACTCATCGAGTTAATTCAATATGCCCGCCTACCATTTGGCATTAAGACTGCACCTGTCATCTTTAAGCAAATAATGAATACGATGCTAATAGGTATGCCTGGTACAGTAGCTCATCTAGATGATAGCATAGTTATGGGTTCAACTGACAACGAACTTTCTGATCGACTACATCAAGCTTTTAACCTAGTGATGGACTATGGTTTCCAACGAAATGAAGAAAAGTGTATCTCCATACATTCGATCAAATACCTTGATTTCATCTTGGATAAAAACGGTCCTCAACCAGACCCTGTCAACATAGAAGATGCCTGCACCAACTGGTGTTCCTTCATCAAGATCCTTCTTAGGATTAATTGGTCATTAGAGTGCAATTCTGCCTAAAATGAATCGAGTGAGAGGTCCCCTGAATGAATTACTATAAAAGACAAACCTTGGCAATGGTCAGCAGAATGTCAAGCATCTTTCAACAAAGTCAAATCAATGCGTAGCTCAAAGCTCCTTTTAACACATTCCGATCCCAACTTGAGAGGTGTTGTTGCATCTGATGCCCGTAATTTGTAAGGAAATGAAGACTTGTTAGTTGGAGTTCATAAGATAGGCGTTATATCATAGAATACTTTTTACTCACTGATTTTATCCCTTTCACCAACTTTCAATTTCTTTCTTATTTTAGCTTTCCACTAGCATTGATATTATGCATTGTTATTCCTTTGATTTTCATTTTACTTGATGTGATAACCTGAAGCAATAAGCTTTTGAGTCAGACTCAATGTCATTTATTTGTTTCGTTTCGTACTGAATGTAACTGATAAATATGGTATTTAGACTTCATAACAGAAAATTCGGAAGGAAAATACTTATTTTGGACCAATGAAACGTGATTCAACACTTATAATCCATCTGAATATCATGAGTGAGATGAAAGCAGTTCCTCCACACTAATCTGACTAGCTTAGATTTCTTTCAAATTGTTTTGACGATATTTTGATATAGATAGACTACCCACAATAAACTGATTTCAGTAAATCCATTTGCATTGTTAGTCAAATTTTGAAGAGAATCAACTAAGTAGAACTTTCAGCTGACAAATCAGTGACCTACTGTATGAGTAAAATTTACAAAAAACTGTAAGATCGAAATTACGTAACCGAGAAATATAAATGATTTAGTGGGTTATATCTTTCCTCCAACGTGATAACAAACTTAAACTTACTACAATTCTGACGCCCAAAAATAGAATAGTTTGTTTACCAAGATCTGAAAGCACGATACAATTGTAGTAACATTCCATAGTTGCAAAACAACCATGTACTGAATTAAATCAGAAAACCTTAATATCATCTATCAACCACCCAGTCACGAGCTAAAATGTCTTTTCATACATTTTCATTTGAATAGCCGGAAAATATCTTTCATCATAACATATGTGGTGTAAAGTCGAAGACAAGTACGTGTACATTGTTAGTTACATTAATTTTGCACTTAGAAGCAATCTTTGGATGAGGCGTTAACATCAAAAACTGTTTTAATTGAGGTTTGGATAAATGGTACGACTTACCCCGTAAAGAAGAATCCCTCTCCAAGGAGTACGCTTTCCAGTGAACAGATGTGGAAACTTTATAGGTAGAATCACTGCTTCCTTCAAAGCTTCCTTTGCTGACTGTAGACCAATGACATCATCCCAGCTGATATTAGGTTTTTCAGTCACTATCGCTCCTTGCAACTGAAGTTGAAAACGTGAGTTTTCACCGTCTTCCTTATCAGAATCATCTCTTTTCTTTTCCCTTGTACCACCAGAGTTTGCTTCCTACAAAAATATGGGTTTTAAACATGACACACAGACTAGTCAACAAATCAAAATACAAGTACAAAACGATATTTCTGACTATGGTCGCTAGCACTTAGAAATTTAATTATTTGAACACAAATATTGGTACAAGGGGGCACCAAATATATATGCGCCACAAAAAAAACAATGAGAATGGGGAGAGAAAAAAAGGTAAGAAGTGCGAAAGAAAAATAAAAAGAACAATAACGACCAGATTAGTGTAAGGTAGTGTTTCCAGAATGTCATCGATGGCAAAGTTGCAGAGGAATGGTGAGATCGGGCACCTTGTCTAACTCCACTGCTTAAATGAAACAATGGAGAGAGGTGGTTGTATGTCCTCACTCTGCCTGAGGTATTTGCATATAGGGCTTTTAGGATGTTAATAAACTTCTCAGGCATACCCTTCTTCAATAGACAATCCCAGAGAACGAACTGCTGAGCAGTAAACACGTCCTTTAGTTGATAGACGGATATCTCGCCTACGCCATAAATGACGCAAGTTGGCAAAAGCTAGTCGAACCTTCTGTATCCGTGATGAGATTTCGTCACACACCAGACCACAAGGGCTGATAAGACTTCCAAGATAAGTGAAGCGGTCGACATGCTTAACTACTTCACTCCCTATCACTAGTTCAGGTGTCGATGCCACCCGATCCTGAAGCAACATTTTGAAATTCGAGGGGAAGAATCGCATCCCGAACATGCCTGCATTGTTGCTTAAAGTGGTCAGAAGACTCTGAATTTTGTCAGCGTCTTCACCAAATAGAACTACGTCATCGGCATATTCTAGGTCAAAAAGTGGATCTCCCGGTAGAAGTTCAACCCCTGGAAATTTAGATGTGGAAAGTGTTATCTCTAAAAGTACGTCAACGACAAAGTTAAGCAAGAATGGAAAGAGTGGGCAGCCCTAAAGAACACCACTTGAGGTAATCAATTCTGATGACAGTTCACCATAAGCTCTCACTCTACCAGTTGTGTTCGAGTAGAGAGCCTTTACAAGGTTAATATACTTCTTTGGTACTCCTTTCAGTGACAAACACTATCATAGAACCTCACGATCAACAGAGTCGAATGCTGTCTTAAGGTCGAGAAATAATACAATTGTGGGGCATCTGAATGTGTGTCTATGTTCTGGGACCTGACGTAGTGTGAATATCTGGTCTATACAACCACGTCCAGGTCGAAAACCAGCCTGATTTTCTTTAGTCTGATCTTCACGAGCTTTAGTTAGGCGTCGAAGTATTATTGAAACTAATATTTTAGACACTATATTAGTCAAACTGATCCCTCTGTGATTGTCACAAGAGGACTTTTGTCCTTTCTTATAGACTGGCACTATCAGTGATTGAGACCAGTCAGATGGGATTACGTCCAGTTCCCAAATTCTACCTAAGACCTCAGTCAATCTCACTGCTAATACTGGACCACCATCCTTAAAAATCTCAGGGGTAAAGGTGTCAGGGCCTGCTGCTCACCCTCGCTCCAGATTTCCTATGGCTTTTTCAACTTCATAAAGAGACGGAGGACCTACATTAACTTGCCATTCAGATTGACTGGCGATCGTGGGAAACCGAAGTGTGGCTGAAGGCCAGTTGAACTGGTCCCTAAAGTGTTCTGCCCATCGATCCAATCTCCTGGATTGAGAATGTATAATATGCCTATCTTTCTCTGAGATTGTTTAGCTAACAATCGGGTTCCTAATACCGGTTTCCTTAACAAGTCTGAACAATTGTCTGCGATTACCTATTGCCGCTGCCTTTTCCATCTCTATTGCTTTCGCTACCCACCACTGTTCACGATCATTGCGTAGGCTTCTTGTCAGCTTACGATTAAGCTCACTCCACTCTTCGTTATGTTTAGAGTCAGATGGAATGAGTTTTCGAGCATCCATCAGTGCGGTAGATGCTGCTGAGATCCAGTGTTTCTCCCTAACCTTGTGGTTTACCGTATTAACAAATATCACTGCTGTTTCCGCAGCTTTTCGGATATCATTCCACGCTGCCTCAAGGTGGGCATCACTTACATGGCTGCCTAACTATTTTCCTAGTTGTTCCTCAAATATACTATTAGCTTGATTACCATTAAGTAGGGCCCTAAGAGGTTTACTTGCAGCATTTTTCCTACGCCCAGTAAGATGCAGACAAATACGTGCTCGCACTGGAGCATGATCTGAATTTAAGCATATGTTCCAGAACGGGCGACAGTCTTCTGTCGAGCCTCTCCATCGGTGGCTGATAGCGATTTGATCTCTTTGGGTCCAATGTTGGGACGAATTCGAGGGTCGCCATGTCAAAAGATGTTTTTGCTTATGCTGAAAGTTAGTATTCTCAAGAAACAGGCGGTTATCTGAGCATAACTGTAACAGGCGGTCACCATTATCTGTTCTTTGAGCCACGATTCCGTAAGATCCACCCAGGTATATTTCTCTTTCGCTTAGTTTACCTACTTGAGCATTAAAGTCACCAGCCATTATTATTACATCAGAGCGCCTAGCTTTTCGGAGGTCGGAAAGCTCTCTATAAAACTCATCTTTTACAGCATCTGAGCTGCAGTCAGTGGGAGAATAGGCAGAGACGACGAAGAGGCAACGACGAGTGTCCCTATCTTTCTGAGTCCTTATTGTTCCGTCTAGTCGGACAGTGCACAAACGACTGTCTACTTGGATCCAGTTTACGAGAGCTAGTTCTGCCCTAGGGCTCGACGCTATACCTACACCAGCAAGGCCACGGGAAGCAGCATCAGGGCTTCCAGATACACGAAGTGTGAATCGAGTTGGTTCTTTATTTTGACATGGTGAGGCCAAATGAATGATGCTACTCGGATCCTGTATGCGCGTTCCAGAGACACAGCACACATCTATGGCGCGAGATTCTAAAGTCCTAGCTAAGGAAGCCTGTTGTCCTATTTGGCACAGTGTTCGGACGTTAAAAGCTGCTACGTGTAGTTTAGAGCGTAGTTTTAGGAGATGAGAAGTAACGTTCCGCGAGTCGTTTGCCCTAGCGGTGCGAGGTGATAAAGAGACATGGGGAGCGTTAGTCATGGAGATAAGAGAGGTATTAGGAGATGTAGGAAGGATTTGAATGTGACTAACTTGGTCTCGTGTGCTGTTACGGGTATGAAGGCTGATGTCACTTCCCGGCTGCCCACACCGTGGAACGGTATTTCTTGAGGAACCTGAAAAGGAAGTTGGATTAATGTTGGCCTCAACGACCTGGGAGCGTGACCGCAGAGCCCAAGGGACAACTGCTTAAGGCCGGTCGCGCACGGCCTTTTCATGGGAGGTTTTTAATGTGTTAGCTCCGTCCTTCAAAGGACCTTACCGCCGGAGACAAATCCGTGAGGTAAGGTCAGGCGTGACATTTTTAGTGTCGACCATTTCTAACCCCGTCCTTCCTTGTGAGAAGGCAGCATCGCTGAAAATGCTGGTTTCCCGAAGGAAGCACCTTACTGTTGTCACACCCATCTACAGTCGGTAGTACGACTTCGCCCTTAGACACTGAGTTGCTGCTTTTAGTATTGCCGTTTTCCAATCGACCTGCCTGGCATGGTAGAACCTACAGGAACATATGTTCCAGCCAATATAGCTTGGTTGGGTCATCACGACAGGCAAGCCCGACCACCGCGTCAAGGTAGTAGCTACAGCCACCGACCATGGAGGGCAGGATAGTCTGACCGATGTTGGGGGAGCAACAGGCCAGTTGAACTGCCCTTCGAAAAATTCTGCACATCGTCCAAGACGTCGATGGATGATGGTGATTGGCATCCCATCATCCTCGCAGATTGTTTCACTCACACCAGACTTCTTGCTGCCAGTGGCTCAGATGAGTTGGAAGAGCTTCTGGTAATTACCAGATACAGCTGCTGCTTCCAGCTTATTAGCACGCTCCGACCACCAGGCTTCTCGGTCCTTACTCAAGCTTTGCCCGACTTCACTACGTAACAACCTTCGTCTGTGGTCAAACTCACGGTCACCCGGAGTAGACCGACGGGCTTCAATGAGTTGTAAGGAACCAGAAGAAACCCAGTGCTTATAAGCGGGACGTTTCGCAAACCCACAACTGACTGTTCCCGCCATTTTCATGGCGTCATGCAATTGCAACCAATGCTCATCTATACTTTTCGGTGGAGTGGTAGCTAGCCTAGAGGCTAGCTCGGTTCGATACTTATTTGCAACAGAAGTTGCAACCGGCTTGCTAATATCAATCCGTTGATGGCGGTCACTTCGTTGTCCACTGAAAAGTAAGGCAAGATTGGCGCAAACCAAACCATGGTCAGAGTCCAGATAGGTACTCCAAAAGGAGCGGCAGTCTTGTACACAACCACGCCAGCGGTAGCTGATCGCGATGTGATCAATCTGAGTCCAGGCTTGAGATGCAGATGGAGGACGCCAGGTGGCACATCGGCGATGACTGTGCCGAAAGTTAGTGCTAGTCAGAAACAGGTTGTGGTCTGTGCACAATTACAGCAGACGGTCCCCGTTATCTGACCTGCGACCAACAAGTCCCCATCGGCCACCTAAAAGATTCTCTTCTGTGCCTAGACGCCCGACCTGAGCATTCAAGTCTTTGGCTAGTACTACAATATCTGTCGAACGCACTATCTGGAGAAGAACAGATAACTGGTGGTAAAACTCATCCTTGATTGCATCCGAGCTGCAATCTGTCGAGGCATAGGCGGAGATGACGAAAATACATCGTTTCTCACGCCGATTTCTTCTCACTTTGATGGAACTTTCTAATCTAACAGAACATAACCGACTGTTAGTGGGGATCCAATCGATTAGTGCTGCCTCAGCTCTAGCGCTTAGTGTGACACCAACGCCAGCAAGACCAGACGAAGATGCCACAGGGTCCCCGGATAAGCGCACGTAAAACAAGCTTTTTGAAGCGACAGATGGAGAGTGAATTTGTAGTACTTCACGAGAGTCTTGAATACGGGTCTCGGATAGACAATAAATATTAATATTAAGACTTCCCAAAGACATAGCCATCCCTATCTGTTGTCTGACCTACATGAGTGTGCGAACGCTGAAGGTAGCCAGTTTGGATGGTGCACGTGGTCTCAGCAAAACTGCTTCAGTATTCGTACTCAGTGGTAGCATACAATTTTCAGCCGGACAGTGACTCGAGAACGTTTAGATACAGTCGAATTTCCACCATAGACGAGCTGTTGTATAAGTCCAAAAAAAAGTATAGACAGAGTAGGAATAAAAGAGTGAATAAATGAGGTAAATAATAATAATTATTATTATTATCATTATTATTATTATTATTATTATTATTATTATTATGTGAATTGTTTGACTTTTAATCGAAGCGTGAATAGAATTTACAGTAAATATCGTCATTTTCATTTTATTTGTGTGCGGGCTGTGATACTGCCCGGGTGCCCAGACCGAAGCAGGTGGTTTGCTTAGGGAGCCACACCCCGAACCTTTGACCTGGAGGTCTGACCCACAAGGCAGTCGAGCATCGTGAGATGTAGTCCCATGGTAGCCGGTGACCAACGACTGGTTCATACGCCATTTTCCCCCTCAGGATACTGGAGCCCATGTGCACCAGTGGCTTGGGATCCGATTAAAGCGCCGGACATTCGCTTTTCGTCCTCTCATTTTCGTAAACAACACCCCCGCCATTATAAGGCAGTGAGTAGGACTTCTCTGGCAGAGGCTGTATACGCGTGGCCATGTGAGAGCATTTCGAGGGACGGCGAGCCCACCGGCCAGCAGGTCAGACAATGCTATGATATGACCAAAATGAAAATGTATTTTAGCTCGCACAGTTCGTTGGAGTCAGGATTGATTACAATGGTATAGGTGTACACATTCTTTGTCTTCCCTCAAACCGTGAGATTAAAATTACTTTATACTTTTATTTCTACGAACTAATTCTTTCTTCTGGTTGGCGTTTTTTTAGCTAGGTTCTTTTCTATGGGATGGAGTTGCTAACCACATAACCAACCCTCCTCCTTTACCCAGGCTCGGGACCGCTAGTAACCCTAAAAGAGCTACAGGCGAGAAGCATCATCAATGAGTAAGGAGGATCTGATGCAGACGTAAAGGCAAGAATTGGCAAAGAAAGGGCGGGATTCCTACAATTGGAAAATATATGAAACCAGCATCACAACGATGCTGCCTTCTCACAGGGAGGGGAAGGGTTAGAAAAGGTCGACCTTATAAAAATGCATACCTCACCTTATCCCACGGATATCCGTCTCCGGTGGTAAGTTCTCAACAAGTACAGAGCTAACACGAAAATTCCTCGTAAAAAGGTTGTATGTGACCGACCTCAAGCAGTTATCCCTTGGGCACTGCGGTCACGCTCGCAGGTCACTAAGGCCACCTCTAATCCAAGTCCCCTTTCAAGTACCTCTAGAAGAACCCTTCCACGATGTGGGCAACTGGGAAGTGATAACCGCCCTCATACCTCTAACAGCACTCACTCATATGAAACTCAAAACAACTGTCAACCAATATCAAAGTGAGAATGTTCAATAGGAGTGTCAAGGCAGTTCTGTTTTATGGAGCTGAGACTTGGAGAACTACCACAACCACCATTAAAATGGTACAAGTGTTTATAAATAGTTATCTACACAAGATACTCAATATCCGTTGGCCGGATCCCATCAGCAACAGCTTTCTGTGGGAGAGGACAAACCAGCTTCCAGTTGAAGAGGAAATTAAGGAAAGACGCTGGAAGTGGATAAGGTATACATTACAGAAATCACCAAATCACATCACGATGCGGGCGCTAACTTGGAGTCCTGAAGGGAAGCGGAAAATAGGAAGACCGAAGAACACACTACGTCGGGAAATATAGAAGCAGATATGAAAGGGATGAGTAGCAACTGGAAAGGGTTGCTTAGGACAGGGTTGGACGGAGAGTGTTAGTGGGTGGCCTATGCTCATTCACGAGGGGTGACGGGTGTGTTATTTTTTTCTTCCTGTACTGTATCCTTATGTGCAATCCTTTTCTACATATTACTACCATTGAAGTAACTATTTCTAGGAATTTGATGTTTGTCTTGTTGTGTTAATAATATGTGGCAACTTGGATCGATGTATATACCTGCCTGGTCCTACATTGTAGCTGACTAACGGACTTTGTATCTTCCCAGTTGACCGGATTTCTTAACTGGTCGACCCTTCTTAAAACAAGTGTTTACATGCAGAATATGGGTGCATGAACCTAGTTGCAACTTATAATAAATCAGTAATGATAAACCAGTCTTGACTAAGAGCTGTCCCGTTATAGCTAGGGGTTTTAGGATAGCGTAAGTACCACATAGGACTATCAGCGGGACAAACGACAGTATGTCTACCAATTTTAAGACAATATTGGTAAAGTTTAAAAAGTTTGAGTCTCTGCTCAGAACGATATTAAGACGCGCTAGAAAGTTTAGCGAACTACTATATCTAAGATTCTAAAGTAAATATTAGATTACAAAACACAGGAAAACTAATTACATACGGTGTGAGATTGACAGTGACAATAATCAGTACACTACTAGTATTACTCACTTGATAACCAAACACAAAGTGGCCAATTAGCTCATATTGTACCAAAATAGGCTCTGTGTACTTAACACCAGGTAACGACCCAAAAGAAATTACCAGGTTTATACCAGCGAGTCAAACTAATTGGGTATCCAAGGCCAATAAGTTTGAAAACTCTGAAAGTTCGTTGGCGCACTAATGTATGGAACACTTCCTGGTTATTGTGAGAAAAATAACGAAATTGTAGGGACTTCGAAAATGTACATGATATAGTGATTCGGTTTTATAAATTTGGGTCTTTAGCCCTACGCTTATCGTGCTGTCTAACGACAGATTCAATACTCTGAGGGTTTATCAATGAATACACACGGCTTTTCCACTATACGGGATTGATCAATATAATGTGAGTGAAATTTCCAAATCCATACAAGAATTAAACGTACGCTTTTTTCACGGGACTTTGAGGCCATGTACTTCTTTATTTGCTCAGCCCTGTCAAGGTACCGCGCACAACTGAGCTGAATAGATTCTTTAGCTCGATCACTTGGAGCCTCATCTGAAAAACAAACTCAGCAGTAACGAATAACTTACACTTAATGGCATGGATGAAATATTCAATTGCATGTTCGTAATATCTGAGCGCCTGCTCATAATTCTTTGCTTTGTCCTCATTCGTTGCGAGAGTGACTAACTGTATGCCTTTCTAGAATTCATAATGCTGCAACAAGTCCAAACAACCTTACTTCAAGTGACATCCAGGACTTTGGGAAACTGTCCGAACCACCCTCGCTCTATGGTTTGTGTACAATATCCAATACTAAGATTTTAAGATGAGCAAAATTATTTAATTAAAGCTTACTTAGATGCATCAAAAGGTTATAAAATCCAGTCCAAATATGTGTTTTTAGACAAAAGATCACCCGAAATTCGGTTTGAATACCAAGCATGCATTCTGATACATAATATTTTTATCTGGTAAACCTGGATTACTTACTACGTTAAAAATGTTTTAATATAAGTCATCACTCTCTCTAGTTGTGTAGGAACATTATATATCATTTTTGATTTTGATTTTCGCGTGTTGTGACATTGATTTCATATTTTCAGATATTTTTTTCTCTCCCATTGGCACATTCCATCTACATTATGATGGAACAGACACCTTGGTTACTTGAGATTAAAACTCCATCGCCTCTTATATTTCAGTTAATTCCGTTCCCTTCTGACATTATCGAAGCCTGGTTCTGGTACTCAGAGGCTGACTACCACAACCACGACGTGACAGACTCAAGTGCACGATTCCTCGCAACAGTGAGAGCACTACCACGCGATTTTAACAGATACGTCAAACCTAGAGTGTTTACCAGCGGCGTTTCGTAACCTTATTAGGCTTTGGTTAATTCGTGTGATATTTTGAACCTCAGTGTGCTGTTCATACCGATTTTTGCAAAATAGGAGAAATCTCCTTTTCAAGAGCTTCCTTATCTGAAACAAGTCAATCAAAGATTTCTTCAGTTCAAGGCTTACTCGATTATGGAATGCACTCCATCTAGACCATCAATTTTCATTGATGAATTGTGGTGTTTGAATAAGCTAATGATTCTTTTGTACTTGTTGAATGCTTGATATCGAATTCTAAATACAATACATTCGTTCGTGCTCATCTAGTACTTCTTGATTCAATTGCGTTATTTTGAGGATTCTTAGTTCATATTAAAATTCAAATAATTCGAAATACCATATTAGCATTGCGATGAAGCCTGTGATGGATAAGTATGATATTCATTCAACTTCTGAAGCTTTTGAGGATTACTTTGAAAGGTTCAAAATCTAGACTATGACTGAGGAAGATGCTGAGGATATTAATATTGTGGCACATTTCTTCACATTCATCGGAAAAGAAGCATACAGCTTATTAAGAACTCTAGCTATGTCGGAAAAGCTTATTTCGATTTCTTACACAAATCTTAAGGATCTACTGCTAGACTATGTTAAGTATACAAATTTCCAACGCAATAAAGGATGATTTTGTAAAGTGATTCATGAAGATATAAAAAATTCCACTACACTACTACATCATCTCAACCCAGTGCATACTCAAGGCTATGCAGATAATTCATTGAGGAGTTGCAATGCATTTCACGAAGATGGGCACAAGTTTAGTCACCGTTTGTCCTGTGGTAAATTCTACTCTTATAATTCATGTAAATTTCGTAATTCTAAGTGCTTTAAATATGGTGAGATTCGACATATCCAGTCAGTCTGTAATACTCTTGTTCATCTTATTGCAACTAATATTAAGTTTGGTAATTCTGATTCTACTGAGTTGATTATTTATAATAATCATTTATCTTTATCATCGATTTCAAAATACAGTGTAGAGTCATATAACAGTGTCCTCCGATATCATAAGTATCGAGGATGTATGATCCATCTACATTACTCTATCAATGCGGCAGAAGTCGAAGATAATGTATTAAACATAATACCAAATTGGCAATAGCTCGCTGTGCAGCAGTGGTTACATAAAACTTGTGGGATACAAATGTAAATCACCAACCTAAAAACCTGGAACACGAGTAGCATTAACAACAATGTTTGCACATGTTTTAACAATAAATGTTTGCCTCCACACAGATACTGACATAAATACTTCATCTCCACTACTATTTTCCTGCCATTGTCATCTTCTGTTTTTAACACCACTAATCCTCACGATACATTGACTCTTGGTTGAAACATAGATTTTGATTTTTAGACTAACTTGAGCCCTCGGAATTGATTTTTTCACCCCTATCTATTTCCAACATTCTGTTCAATCCACTTGCTATACGTCACTTTCTTATCATGCAACAAAAGAAAATGAATACCCCTGATTCTAGGCGTTCAGCCAAACGTAGGAAAACGACACAATTTAACACCACTACTGACACGATTTCCAACAGTTTCAACGAGACGAGCCACTCCGTTCATCCGGAAGCAGACAAGCTTTTACCAGTTGTCTCCATTCCAGACATGTTGAAAACTTTGATGGTAAACAGTGATGATAGTCGCAACTGCAACCATATGGATGCTATAAAAAAGTTGCAAGTAGACATGAACATTCTCAATCCGCTTAAATATCTCATCAATGCAAACCTCACAGAGACTCCAGATCAAATAAATGACATAAATATTTTCCTAGATCGTGTTGCATCAGAGGTATTTGAAAGAATAAGACGATCTAGCAATGCGATTGTGTTTAATATACCGAATAGATATGCCCTTAAAAATATCAAATCTAGTTTGCTCAGAGACATTAATATGACACACGTACCATGTGCATGCACAAGATTAAAAAGAAGTCATCCTGGTATGCACTCACCGATCTTGTTCAAATTCAACTCATCTGTAGACGCCAGTAAATTTTTAAATTCCTCCAATTCATTGAGACGAAAACAGGTTTTCAAGGATATTAAGACTCTTCCGGATAAAACACCATGCCAGCGAAAAGCAGGAAGAGATAACTACAGACCACCAGCGTCAAACTCTCAAACGCATCATAATCCTAATGGTCGTAAAGTTAAGTCCGATTCTAAGAGGACGTCTAGTTTAACAATTTTTCCGTCACCGAAAAACTCTTCTGAATCTCCTGAAGTTCAAAACCCAGAAGAAAGTAATCCCGATGTAAGTGGTGTCCATCCTCTTAAGAATGTTGACTTAGATTCAACCCGAAGTAGTTGTGCTGATGAAGAATGGGATAACACAATCCAAACCCCTGTTGGTGCAACGCCCAGTTACAGTAACTGTGCAACGGATAACAGGAAAACTAATCATAACATTCATATAACTGACCACGCACTTAACGTTGATATATTCGAACCTCGCAAACCATCGCAAGTATGTTAAACAGTACACAATCCTCTCCAACATATGAAGAAGCCGAAATCAACCACAAACCTTGGAAATAAACGTCTTAAATACGTTATCCATACGTCAGGTATAAATAGTTATCTGAATTGTAATTGGCCACTTGGTCACAACCATAAACCTGATAGCCTTCTTGGTCCGGCCCCCAATATGTACACTATGCCCTTATCAGATGTTATATCCAATAGCAATGAGAAAACTTTTTTTGTAATTCCGCCGGCTTTCCTGCCGGCAACAGTAAACATATTTCACATGATGACAAAGTGGTTGAATCTATTTCCCCTCGCAACACGACTCTTACCTTAGCTAATCCTATGAGTATTCATGGAACTACCAATTGCGATTTATTCTCTAACCTGCTTCATTATGGTGACTCTGAGTTTCTTATTCTTTCGTTCAATGCCCGCTCTCTGTCTAATAAAATTATTCATCTTAAAACTCTTTTATTTCTTGTAAATCCAACCATTGTACTTATTACGGAAACGTGGTGTAATTCATCTATATCCGATAATTCCTTGAATGTAGATAACTACGTTTTCTTTAGAACCGATAGATGTTATGGAATAGGAGGCGGTACAATTATCTATGTCCGTTCAGACATTCAAGCGTGCAAATTTGAGGATAAATCCCTTGATGCTATAGACGACTCCACTTGGGTTACCGTAAACTGTGGATCCCAAAATTTTTTACTGGTGGGATGCATATATAGACCACCGCATGCGGATACTAAGTTTGACAGATTACTAACAAACATGTTTTTCATTGCTTCGCACCAACCGCATACTTTTAAAATCATCGGATGTGATTTTAATCTGCCAAAAATTACATGGGGCTTGACTCCGGTACCAGGTCGATATAACAAGCTAGTTGAAACATTAGAAATTTGTGGATGGGTTCAACAGGTCCGAAAACCGACCAGGGGGAATAATACATTTGATTTAATGTTCACAATCAACATAGACTCTATCTCAGTGCATATCAGTCATGAGTTTTTTATGAGTGACCATAGAGTTGTATTGAGTATTATTCACTCTTTAAACGCCATACAATTGAACTCTAAAGCTTCAGTGACGTACCAGAGCAGACATTTTGATCAACAAACATAGAAACGGACTGAAACTCTCATTCAATGTTTACCATGGGAAACTTATTTTACCACAAATAATGTTGACATTACGCTTTCGAATCTATATCACAACCTGATATATTATCTTGACTGCAGTGCTCCAGGTATTGGCCGTGTGGCTTATAATGCTAATAGGGGGCAAAATACTTTCAAAAGAAAGCTGAGGAAATTAAAATACCGCTACTATGAGCAGAATGATGTGTATGCACTTCAGAGTATACTTAAATTAATCGACAAAAATGCTTCATCTAAACGTAAGTATTTCATGAATATAGAAAATAAAGCTCTACGTAGTAAAAGCCCAGAATTATCAATACTTCGACTTTTTAAATCCCGTGTAAAGTCAAATTCCCTTGGCACGACCAAATTCTTCATAGTTAACGTTGGCATTGTTAACGACCCGAATACTATATGCGAACAATTCAGCAAGCACTTCTCGCAGTGCTACAAGACTGGAACTGAAAGCTCCATCATTACATTTCCAATGCTAACATCCAGACATCTGTCGAAAGTTGATTTCACACCCTCCAACATTACGCAGGCCATAACTGCCCAGAAAATGTCTTATGATTGTGGACCTGACGGGATACCTACATCATTTGTGAAATATGGAAGTAGAGAATTTCCACTATTTTGTTTGAAACTTTTCAATCTGTCTATGGAATAGGTATGTATTGAGATTTTAGATGGTGGTTGGAGGTAGTCAACAGGAAACCCTGGACCCGGGTTTCGTGCTACTTGGCACTCGTCAGCAAGGTGTACCTGTAA